CCCTGCACCCCTCCCCTGCACCTCTCCCCTGCACCCCTCCCCTGCACCTCTCCTCTCGCACCTCCTTGCTGCAGGATTACTTTCTGATTCTTGCCGTCAGCTCTGGACATACTGCCCACTCTTCAGTCTCTCTCTAATGTTATCTCCTTGCTCAGACCTTTTCCACCATCCCTCCTCCCCCTCCCCACTCTGTGTGAGTGTTGCCTCCTCCTAGAGGGTTTTTAAAATTCCGCCTTATAGCCTGGCCGGGCGTGGCTCGGCAGTTGAGCGTTGACCTAGGATCCAGGCGATCGGGGTTCGATTCCCGGTCAGGGCACATGCCCGGGTTGTGGGCTTGATCAATGACTCTCTCATCATTGATGTTTCTATCTCTCTCTCTCTCTCTCCCTCCCTCTCTCTGAAATCAATAAAGATATATTTTAAAAAAATAAAATAAAATTCCGCCTTATGTTAGTGCTTTTCCTGTGCTGTTTAATGTACCCCAGACAATTGGTGACCCTTTGCGGCAGGAGCGTGTCTTACTTTGCACACCCTGTAATTCCAGCCCAGGGTGGCATAGGAAAGAACAGGAAATAATCGCGGTCGAGCTTTTGCCAAGTGGCTGCTATGCATCTGTCGGCACAGCGGTGAGCCAAGCCTGTGCCTTCATTTTCCAGGGCCCCACCCATGCCCAAGGTGACCCATCAACCTGTGCACTTCAGGTTGAGTTCACTTTCACCTGGTTCACCAGCTGGCGGGTGACCATGCACAGAGGCTTCTGGATGGCGCTGTGCTGGGTGGGAGCGGGGCCCGGGGAGGCCACATGTTGGCACTGAGGCAGGTGTGGGGAGGGAGGCTGGACGGATGTCTGAGTCTGGCTGAGGCCTGAGCCGGGAGGTGCCGTGTGCTGGGAGGGCCTGGAGGGCCCCTGCAAGAGGAAGGGTTGGAGGGGGTTCTGAGGAAGCGCACGCTCAGGCCTCTACTGCCGGGGGAGCCGGGACCGGGGCCTGGAGCCCGCTTGCCAGGGCTGCTCTGCGTGGGACAGCGTAAGCTGAGGTTGCCGCAGAGCATGGCTCAGTATTAACAGCCCTGGAGCCACCTGCAAGCCGAAGTAATGACCACTTTTGCCTTGGGCCTCATGCCAGATACATTCTTCCTTGGGGAAGGTGGGGGACAGTGGAAAAACCAGTGAGGGTGTGAGAGGCTCCATTTTATGCTGCTGGCAGGGGAGCGTGGACTCAGGAGCCTGGAAATGCATGTTAAAAGTCTGACTTTTTCAGAAAATTAGAAGTGTTGGTTAGGTCAGCAGGCCCCTTCTGTAAGCTGTGGCCTCTGAACTGGCAAGTGGGCGGGACAAGAGTTTGGGGTGGGCGGCTTCCCTCTGGCGTGATGTGCCCAGTGCGTTGCCCTGTGTGGGGCTGTGGTGTGTTCATTGTGTCCCCTGGGCCTGTAAGATGGGCTGGGAGGCTGAGTGGAGGGGCCCATTTTCCTGAGAAGAAAGGTTTGCCAAGCGGGCATTTCTGGGCTCTGTGAGCATCATTCTGAGCCTGGCGGGAGCTGTGGTGCTGAGCTCATTCTGCGTCTCTTGTGGCACATAGTTGTTGCTCAACAAATATGTGAAATGAATGATTTAATTTCATATTCTTTGTCCATTCAGTTATTCATTATGTGTGTGGTATGCTAGTTGCCTTTGACTGCTTTAACAAATTCCTACAAACATGTTAACTTAAAGCAATAGAAGTTTATTCTCTAGCAGTTCTGGAGGCTGGAAGCTGGAAATCCGCAGGGCCATGCTCCTTGGGGGCCTTAGGGGTGAATCTGCTCTTTGCCTCTCCCAGCTGGTGGTGGCTCCAGGCAGGCTTGGCTTGTGGCCACATTGCTCGAGTCTCTGCTCCCATATTCTCACGGTTCCTCTTCCTTCTTTCTCCTCTGTGTGTCTCTTATAAGTACACTTGTCCCTGGACTTAAGATTCTTAACTTAATTGCATCTGCAAAGACCCTGTTTCCAGACACAAGGNCTGGACTTAAGATTCTTAACTTAATTGCATCTGCAAAGACCTTGTTTCCAGACACAAGGTAACACTCACAGGTCTTGGAGATTAGGGTATGGACTTATTGGGGGGGGGGGCGTCATTCAGCCCACATAAGGGGCCTTAGTATTTTTCTAATCATTCTCTTTTAGTTATTTTAAGACTGTTAGCCACTGGGTTTGTGTTGTTCCTAGTTTGTCTGCATTTAATTTATAGATACAGGTATATTTTAATATAGCTCGATTTCACTTTCCCCCACGATTTTAGGTTTAGAAAGTCCTTCCCCGCTGACTGTCTGATAAGTAGTCATTCATGTTGAAATAAAACCTTTAGGAAATTAACTTTTAAATCCAATGGTAACTCGTTTTGATGTCTACTGTGAGGTGAGGGTCTGCACTTTAAAAAAAAAAAAAGCTAATCTTTACATGTGAGAAAATGTAATAGACCTATACACATAAACACACAGAGAGAGAGAAAACCTGCAAAACCCAGAGCAGTCTGAGTGAGGCCTCAGGACCTTTCCATTTTGTAGTTTCTTCTGAATCTATCATTATTTAAAAAACATCTTTTAAAACAGTGAATCAGATTTACCAATACCAATTATTAAATCATTTATTCTATTATTTGTAAATCTTCCTTTATTAAGTTGTGACATATGCTACGGTGTTGTATAGAGTTGTGGTTAAACTTATTTAACTTGGCAGAAATAGACATTATATGATGATATATGGTTTTTCCATCTAGAAACAGTGCACGCTCCATTTATTCAGACTATATTTTATCTTCCAATAAAATGTGTGTAGTTTATTATAGATACTGTTCAGTTTTTTGTTGTTAATGTGGATGAATCGTCTTTCCATTTATACTCTTTAACTGGCTTGTGCTGGTTATATGTCACCAAATAGAATGCCCACAGCCTTTCAAATACATGAAATTCTTTTAATGGGAAAATGCTTTTCATTCTGCAATTAGAGACAATGTTTAACAGGCTTTTTAATTCATTTCGTTAAACCTGCTCTCAGGAGGGGATGGTCAGTGGTTTTCTCTGATGTGGATTTTAGTAGCTGTGTTCTCCATCTGAGTGTATGTGGGCGACATTCTTTATAAAACAATATGAGCTTGTGTTCCACAAATTTAATGCTAACCATATTTTGTTGGATTCTATTTCTTTGAAAATTATAGAGGTGCTGGTTCTCAAGGCGTCATGTGGTGTGTTACTTGGGGTGCCCTTGGCCCATCCGGGCCAGGTGGACAGACGGGGCTATGCAGCCCAGGGGCAGTCGCAGCTGGCACGGGCTTTCTTCTCTGCTCTGCTCCTCGGCTGTGAGGCCTGGGTGGCACTGAGGAGTTGAGAGGGCCTCTAGCTGGGTGAGTCCCAAATTTGTAAAAACTCAGAAATGGGGAAATGTACTCTTAACCCTCCTCCAGGTCAGTCTTATGAAATTCGACTGCTGGAGAATCGGAAGCTGGGAGACTTTCAAGATCTGAACACAAAGTACGTCAAGGTGAGTCTGTGGGGCCCTCTTCCTCCCTGTGGGGTGGGTGGAGTCTCAGCGTCTGGGTTGCTGTGGGGGATCAGGAGTGGCAGGGGGTTCAGGAAAGGTGCCAGAGGGAGAGTGGGCCCCTGTTCCCCCAGCGTGCTTCCTGACGGGCCTAGGACAGGCTGCAGCTGAGAGCTGGTGCACCAGCGTGGGCCCAAGCCTTGCCAATTCCTGCACTTCTCTGAGCTTCTGTTTGCTCATCTGCACAGGATTTATAAGTCCGCCCTGTATGTAAAGTGCTCAGTAATCCCGGACAGAGGGCAGGCATCATTACTCTTGCTGCTCATGTTGGGGTTCGTGTTGGGGTTCTGCAGAGGGAGTAGAGCAGCTCCCTGGGCAGAAGGCTCCGGGCAGAGCGGCCTTGAAGGGCGGGGGTGTGCCCTGGCTCAGAGGCGGCAGGTGGGCTCCTCTGGCTTCCTCTTGGCGCCCACACTCAGCTGCCTCCTGCCTGCCTCCTGCCCTAGAGCATCATCCGCGTAGTTTTCCACGACCGTCGACTGCAGTACACAGAACACCAGCAGCTGGAGGGCTGGCGGTGGAGCCGGCCTGGGGACCGGATCCTGGACATCGGTGAGTCTCCTGGGCCAGGACGAGCCCAAGATGCTCCATCCAGCGCGCTGGGTTCTTCCTGGATGCCATCTGGACTGGGCAGGGCATCTCAGTGCACTCCTGTCTGGTGTGAAACCCCGTGGGAGCTGGCAGAGGCGACCGTGCTGCCAGGCTGCTGGCAGGGAGCGCCAGGGAAGGCTCTGCGGGAGGATCACGCACTAAAGGATTTTGATAAGTGATGAAGGAAAGGATGGGCATCACAGCAAGGCAGTGGAGATGGAGTCCTGGGGGCCTAGGCAGTGGTCCACATCCTTCATCCACAGCCTTGGAGGCCAGATGGGTTTTGGAATTCGGAAGCTGGAGTGACAGTAGGCTGTGGAAGTGCCTCCCGCAGGCGGTCAAGCACAGCCATCTTTCTGGAGCAAGAGGGAACCACTGTCCACGCAAAATGGCATGAGGACTAAACAGCCTCGTGGCAATCCAAGTGAGGCTTTCTGCCAGGGGAGCTTACAGAACTTAGTGTCAGAGCTTTTGGCATCTCCAGAGTGGTGAGAGAACTGGCCCTGCCACGGGCCCCTCCTCCCATTGGGAGTGGCTGACGGTTGCGCTTTGTGTGTGTGTGCGCAGATATTCCACTGTCTGTTGGTATCTTGGACCCCAGGGCCAGCCCAACCCAGCTGAACGCAGTCGAGTTTTTGTGGGACCCTTCGAAGAGAGCGTCTGCGTTCATTCAGGTACGCCCGAGGGAGGCTGCCTGCGTGGGGAGCGGAGCTTTGGAGTCCATGGTGCAGTTTCTCAGGCCACCCCTGCGGGCCCTGCTGGGCCCTGTTCTCTGTTGTGGGGCAGGAGCCCGAGGGGGAGGCGTGCTGCATATCAGAGCTGGCTGGGCGTGGGGCTGGGAAAAGGACTGGGATGTTCTAGGATCCTGTGTGGGGTTTGCTTATGAATATGTAAGCTTTTTATAAAGTAAACTATTTCCTAGCATAAATAATTTGAGGTAAAACATTTTCCATAATAGTTTGTTATTAAATTAGTTAACACTCAAGCCCAGGCTTGGGTCCGGCCTCGTGGTAAACAGGACGGAAGACTGAGCTGGGAGCTGGCTGAGGGCTTGGCCGTGCTGGGCTGGGGGCTCCCTGGCTCTCCCTCCCAGAGCATCTCCTTTGTGAGCCTCTTATCCATCAGATAATGAACATAAAACCATAGCTACAGTGCCCAGTTCATAATAATTGCTCAGTAGAATTCAATGACCTTTTTTCATAATTACTATTCTTCTAGTATTTTAAAATTATTATTACATTATTATTGTTATTATAATATGTATTGTGTTATTAAAACAAACAGTATTATAACCATAAATATATATCAAGTACTCTCTGTGTAGCAAGTACTTGCAGAAACACAGAAATGGTTCCAGCCTTCTGGTCATCTTCCGGCCTGGCCCATGTAATCTGGTCACCAGGCTGTAGGGACTAAGTTGTTCCTCTCTGCAGCCTGTAGCTTTTGCCAAGCGAGGTCTCTGGGTGAGGAATGAGGGTGGGCTACTGGGGTCAGCGGGCCGGGAGCAATGGCAAGGACTCAGCTGGTCAGGCAGGGCCTCTGGGGTCAAGGGACAAAGGTGGGAGGGCATGTCCTTATGGACAGGGCGATGGGGAGACTGCCCAGCGGAGAGGATGGTGCTGGGAAGAGTAGGGTGGTTGAGTTGGGTGTGCACCTGACCCTGCGGGATGGGGGCCTCCGCCTGAGAGGAGCCCCTGGGGAGCGCAGGCCCGCCCTCGGCCCTTCTCTGACCAGTCCATTGGCTCCCCTCCCAGGTGCACTGCATCAGCACGGAGTTCACCCCGAGGAAGCATGGCGGCGAGAAGGGCGTGCCTTTCCGTGTGCAGATCGACACGTTCAAGCAGAGCGAGAACGGGGAGTACACTGAGCACCTGCACTCGGCCAGCTGCCAGATCAAGGTGTTCAAGGTAGGGGCCGTCTCGTGCGGTGTGCGCCCATGGGTGCGCCTCCAGACAGTGATACCAAACCTCACAGCTCACGGGGAGGCCCAGTGAGGAGCTCGGTGTGCCTTCGCCTGGGCTTCTGCCTGCGCCCCACGTGTCCTGCGGTGACGGGCCTGCCTCCGAGGCCTCCTCAGCTTTTATCATCACACAGGTGTTTGCACATAGCAGGCAGAGTCCAGCCGAACTGTCCATCACACCCACCCTGGTCACCCCAGTTCCCAGGAATCCCTGGCTTCTTACGTCATACCCTGGGGCTCTGGATGGTATCAGAGCCTCTGAAAGGGAAGATAGGGCCCCTCTGACCAGCAGCTCCCCGTAGGTGTCACTGGGCTGCGTACAGTCTCCACACGCAAGCACGGTGGTAGTAATGCCACCTTGCTCTGTCTTCAGGGCATCGTCTCGGGAACAGGCCTGGAGGTGGAGCAGGTAATGGGAGTTTGGCGGCCACATGCCTACTCTCCCATTGAACACTGGATCTGTCATTTATGCCCCCATATGACCCCCTGCAAACCTGCCTCTGTCCAGCATGGGCATCTGAACACTGTTTCCTAAAATTCCTGAGCTGGGAGTCAAAGGCTGTACCTGAGGAAGGTGCACACAGGATGAAAATCCTCAGACATGCCATTGAGCTTGAGAATGAATTTTGCTCACTGACTGCCCACCATGTGCAGTCTGCTGTGTGCATAGTAATACTCAGTCTTGGGGCTGCTAGTTTTGGTATCCGAACTCACCAACCCCACTGTGAGCTCCTAGGAGGTGAGAGTCCAGAGGTTTCCATCAGCGGCCTGCTAGGGCAGCCCAGTGGTGGACATACCTGGCTCTCGCTTCTGGATTTTGACCTGGTCAGCACTCAGTTCCTCACCTGTCAATGAGGGGAATAATAGTGCCTGTGAGGTGTGGACGCCTATAAGTTTCTCAAGTTTGCTGGCACCCTGGACAGGCTCTGTCAGGGCGAAGACCTCACCCGCATGTGGAGTGTGGGCCGTAAGTGCCAGGAGTCCTGGGATGAGGGGCGTGGAGGCCTTCCTGATGTGTCTGGGAGCCCACAGCCTGCAAGTGTAGGCCAAACCCCAACCAGCAGCCCCCAGCTCTTTTTTCCCCTCACTCTCCATGGGTAACCCAGGAGTGCATTGGGATTTGTCATGGCTCCTAGGGTTCCTTTCTGTAAGCAAGTGGCCGTTGGTGAAGATCTTTCCCAGGCTTTTCCCATGAGCAGCCTAGTGGCAGGACTGCAGCAGGCGAGTTCCCTTGGGGCGGGGAAGGGCTCCAGGCAGGAGGGCTGTGTGCTTGATGTCTGGGAAGTGAGAGATGCTGTCTTGTCCTGTCCGCAAGACCCTGCCTAGGCTTTTGCAGGCCTTGGGGGCCACTGCTCCTCCCTGGGTCCTCCACTGATAGCTATCTCTGCCTGCTTTGGACTAATCGGACCCCTGTGCTCTGCATTTGTAGCCAAAGGGAGCAGACCGGAAACAGAAGACTGACCGGGAGAAGATGGAGAAGAGAACCGCCCAAGAGAAGGAGAAGTACCAGCCGTCCTATGAAACCACCATCCTCACTGAGGTGAGCCTCCAGGGCCTCTGCCAGGAGCGGGCCAGTGGCACTGCGGGTTAGGGTCTCGGGCGATCCCCACCTTGGTAAATGCTTGTTTTGCGATCACCCATTAGGTGATGGTGTGTTCTCAGGTTTGGAGCTGTGTTCATTGGATAAGGCCCAGAGCCAGGAAGGTGTTTCAGAAATAACTTCTAGCTCTTCGCTCCCGTGTGCACTTTTAAAATCAGAGAATTACTTTTTAAATAGGTAATAGGTCCAAAATTCAAAAGGTGTAAGAGAATATGCATTAGAAATATCTCTCCCTCCACTGCTCCAGCTCAAGGTTTCTCTCCCTGGGCAGCCAGCATCTCTGTATCTGGCCCAACGTGCTCTGCCACTGAACCCAATATGTACATGGTTTTTACACCAATAGTGCACACAGACATCCTGTCCTGCAGCTTGCTTTTTGTGTGTAATAGCATATCTTGGAGTCTGTTCTCTGTCTGTTCATAAAGAGCTTTCTAGGTCTTTACCTAGCTGCATTGCCTTTGTTGGTGGTGGGCTTTTTTGGCTGTTTCCCGGCTCCTGCCTTTTGGGACAGTGCCGTGAGTAGCCTGGGGCGTGAATGGTTTTGCAGTGGGAACTATGCCTGCAGGCTTCGCTTTCAGGGCAGGACTGTGGCTCGGGCTGTGAGCCCTTTGCCACTTTGGTGTTTGTAGGTATCAGAATGTGTTTCCTCTTAACCCCGGTGCCAGTACCAGCCTCTCCGACATCCTCTGTCCGGGGTACTTCTGAGATGCTCACTGTCACAGGCCCTTTTCCTCCGGTCACAGGTCCCTGCTGTGCCACCATTCTTATTACCACCGCGCTCTGTTTTTTAAAACGACAGTTCCCTGCTTTTTGCTGTAGTCAGGCCAGTTAATAGGTGTTGATGTTTGTTTGCTGAGTAACTTGACTTACTCAGAAGGTCCCCACAGATGCGCAAGGCCCAGCAGTGGCCATGGCGGGCTAAGGCTGTGTTGAGGGTGAGGCCCAGGCACAGAGCATCTCCCAGGACTGGCCGATGAGCTGTGTGAGGGTGTGCGTGTGCGTGTGCGTGTGCATGCGTGCGTGCGTGCACCTGTGGTAAACCACATGCAGAAGGGTATCTGCAGTGAGACGGCATGGAAGCTAATCGGTGGCAGAGACAGAGGTGTACTGGTGTTTATCTGAGGATAACAGTGGCCAGGAAATCCTGCCCCCCTTCCCCCAGCAGCAGAGCTGTGGGGTAGAGCTCAGACCGGTGAGTGGTTCCCAGGCCTAGTTCCCGCCTGTGCGGCCGCTGACGCCGCCCGTTGTCCTCTGTGCTGTCCTGTCTTACAGGCTGAGCCTTGCTCGGCCGCTGCACCCCGACGCTCCTGGGCTTCCTTGTGGTGGGGAGTTGTGTGTGCATCATGCAGTGGCCGTCCACGCCCTGCCCCAGCGTGGTGTGGTTGGTCAAAACACCCACCTGGCCTGTGCCCTTGTGAGGTGACGGCTCCCCTTGTATCTCTCATCAGCTTTGTTCCTCTGAGATTTACACCAACAAATTCCAGCCCATGCTGACAGCAGAGGTAAATATTTACCAGCCCTATGTGGTGGGTGACAGTAAATCTTTAGGAATGCTTTAAATGGGCCCTCTCCAGAGACGTCACAGAGGCAGGAAGTAAACACTGTGTCCCGGCTTCCCCAGCAGGCCGACCCGTGCGTCTGCTTTCTCTGGGACTCACATGTGCTCATCTTGGCTTCTGCACAAGTTCCCTGAGGTCACGGATGCATCCTTGCGCTCTGTGTCCCTGAGCTCATGGAGGTGCCTGCAGTGCACTAACACGCAGGACGGTGCTGAAGAGTGGCCGTTCTTGGTGATGGAAAGAAGGCCTGTCAGCAGGGTCTGTGTTCAAACACCGCAGGTTTTAATGCTGGACTTCGCTGCTGATTTCTTGTTTGGAAGTTGTCTGTGGTCCAGAGCCCCCTGCTTCATGCATTCATACCCATTTGCCTGCCCTGGGAAAACCTTCTTGTGCGCCCAGCAATCATGTGACCAGTGCTGTTTCCCTCTTCCGTTTGGCTCCTAGGAAGCTCACAGAGACACATGTCCACTTTGCTTGTCGAGTGTTTGGTCTCTGCTGTTGTGTTTGATTCTTGGCTCACGTGGTCACTGGGTACATGCAGTTGGGGATTGAGGGGTCTGTGGTTTTACACGTCAGCTTCCGTGATGCTGGCTTGGTGCTGCCCAAGACGCCCGGCCAGCCCCACAGCAGACCCAGCTCCTCCTGAGTGCCGCTGCCCTCAGCTCACCGCTGCTTGCACTCTCTTCCCTAGTGCTCTCCGTGGCCCGACGTGGCCTATCAGGTGAACAGCGCCCCATCCCCAAGCTACAACGGCTCTCCAAACAGCTTCAGCCTCGGCGAAGGGTAGGTGTCACATCTTCCCCTTGGACTCTGGAGTGGTGGCAAGGGTGGGTTCCTCCTGCTCTTCCTCCTCGTATCTTCTCTCCTTCGTATCCTGGCATCGATTTGGGTTTCAGGGTGGCTAGCAGATGTTGCATTCACACCTGTGTTTAGCATTTGTCCAGGTTTTTGTGCTTAGACAGCTTCTATAAATGTCTCGTAGGGGAGCAGCCTAGCACCTACCCTAACCCGTTCTCCAGTACAGGTAGAGGCTGGCCTGCCGGGCACTGGGTCAGTGTCGTGGGATGGCTTGCCAGGCACCTCTGGGCAAATGACCTGCCCCCTAGACAGGTGGGGCCTTGGGAGGCAGGTGTTGGGGTGGCCCATGGCTGCGAGGGCCTCCTTGGCTCTCTGCAGCCCTGTGCACATTCGCCGGGTGATGTGGGCAGCTTGGGGCCCTGGGTCCTCAATTCGGGTTTCAGGGCTTGTAACGCAGAGGAGACCTCACTGCTGGTCACCCGCCTCTGCGACCCCACAGGCTAAGCCATACCCTGGATTTCCTGGGTGGGGAGAGTCCTCCCTGAGAGGCGGTGATGGAAGAGGTGTGTGTTTAGATTCAGGCAGACCTGGCCTTAGATCTGTACCTTTCGGGGGAAGTTCCTCTGCCATCTCGGCCTCGGTCTCCCTACTGTGAGGGTGTGAGCATTCCACGCAGGGTCAGTGGAATGTTCCCCAGACCCCGAGGAGGCGCACCTGTGCACTTTGAGGCCCTGCTTTCTTACTGTGGTAAAGTAGACACAACATAAAATTACCGCCGTGACATTTGAAGTGTGTAGTTTGGCGACGTGAAGTGCATTCTGGTTGTGCCATCACCACTGTCATCTTTAAATACGTCTTCCTCTCAATTTATAGCCCAGGTGCTCAGGTCCGTGCCCCCCTTGAGTGAGCCCCAAGGATGGTCAGGGGGCAGGCCTCCCTGTGAGAGAACCATGAGAAAATTTTCCTCACAGATGCCAAACTGGGGTGCTTGGTCACTGCACAGCGACCCAGAGGCCTCCTCTGCCCTCTCCTGTCCCTGCCCCTCGTCTGACTGCTGCCCAGCACTGTCACTGTGGGTGCTGCTTGGGCGTCCGGGTCCGCTGCCCGCCTCGGGCTCAGGCTGGGCTGGGAACTCCGAGGGGGAGGGAATTCTGACCAAATGAACCCAGAGCCTGGGGCAAAGGGGTCCTTGCTGCCCGGGAGAGTGGAGCGCACCAGAGTTGATAGGGATTTGGAGGAGTTGGATGGGGACTCCTGCTCTCATTCCTCTGACTTGTTTAAAACCTCCGAGCTGAGGGGGGTAAAGAGCAGGCAGGTGAGGGGATCTGTGCCAGCCCCGCTGGCACTCCTGCTCACCGCCTCTTTGCTTCCTTTGCAGCAACAGCTCGCCAACTCACCCCCACCCAGTGGAGGCCCTGCCGATGGGCAGTGACGTAAGTGTCTGTGTGGTGTGTGGCCCTGTGGCGTCCTGTCCCTGTGCAGGCCCTGAGTGGTCACGTCAAGGCCCCTCTCTCCTGCAGCACCTGCTCCCGTCGGCCTCCATCCAGGACGCCCAGCAGTGGCTGCACCGCAACAGGTTCTCGCAGTTTTGCCGGCTTTTCGCCAGCTTCTCAGGTGAGCATCTCTGGGCCCACAGGGATCTTGGAAACACTTAGCAAGGCCACTTACCTTCCAGGACATGCCCTCAGTGCCTGTGGGGCTGCGGTTTTGTCCTGGCGACCCACAGAAGTCTGAGTCACTCACTGACACTTGNTTTTGTCCGGCGACCCACAGAAGTCTGAGTCACTCACTCACACTTATTGACTAGGCCAAGTGCTCAGAGTTGAGGTCCTGCCCCTGGAGGTTTCCAGTTGAGTGTGACTTCAAGGGAGCATCATTGGCACCTTTACCAGGATCCCCTCACCTGTGGGTGGGCTCTCGTCTGTCTGGGTAGGGCCTGAGCCAAGCAGGCCAGTGCTTACTTGACAAGCCTCCCTCGCACCTGTCTCCCCAAATGCTGCTCATCACGTTATGAGCCATGGCTGGGAAGGTGGAGGTGAAGCCCAGGAGAGGAGGGAAAGCTGGTTCTTCCTCTTTAAAAGGTGTTTGAAGCCCTTGTGATGCCCTGAGCTAGGGGCTGTGGGTTGCGAGGTAACCGGCACTGAGCCTCCCACCAGGCTTCCAGTCCCGAGGGACAGGGACCAGTGAGGAGAGTGGCTCTCAGCGACTCAGCCATTCCAAGAACTTCCTTTGTGTTCGGGGGAGGTGTGAGGAGGGCCAGACAGGGATCCTGTCCTCAAGGAGTCCACACAGACACATAAACCACACATTTCAATGTGGTGTGACCCATCTCGTGGGAGGGCTCAGAGGAGGGACCTGACCTGTCCCGGTGGGGGAGGGGGGAGGGCCAGCTGTGGTCTTGAGTAGGGTGGTCATCGTAGGCCTTACTGAGAAGGCGTCTTGAACAAAGGCTGTAGCGAGGCAAGGGAGCGAGCCAGGTGGGTACTGGGGAGTGGGGTGGGGGTTAGCTTTCCACGCAGAGGGGAAGTCCAAGGCTGGCGAGGCCATGGAGCAGAGGACCCAGTGACTGGGGCTGAGCGGACGGGGTGGGGGTGGGGTCAGAGAGGCATTGAGGGGCCCTGGGGGGACACCAGAAGGACTTCGGCTTTTATTCCCAATGGAAAGGGAGCCGTTGTGCCTGCAGAACTGTGCCTAAAATAATGTATTGACTGTGGCAGGAAAAAGGGTGGTTCTGTGGCTCTAGGCCATGTGGCCATCGGCAGGCTTTCAGCAGGAGGCTGACACCATGCTTGTGCCTTTGGGACAGTCTGTGTGGTCACAGGCTTTAGGGGACTCCTTGGCCTTTGAGGCAGGGGCTCCATCCACAAACAAAGTTCATAGAGACTTATTCACAATAGCCACGCCGGGAGCACCTGTGCCCATGGCAGAGAGTGGTACATTCATGCAGTGACTGGTACCCAGTAATGGGCGTGGATGGTCTATAACTGCATGTAACAGCAAGAAGCCCTTAAACAGAACTTGGAAGGCAGGAGCCAGGCACAAAAGAGTATATACTGTTCAATTCCATTTACATGTTTCAAAAAACAAGCAAAATTCATCTACACTGTAAGGAGTCAGGACAGCGGTTCCCTAGAGCTGGGGGAGTGGCTGGTGCGAGGGGCTGTGGGATGCTGGGGACATTGGCCCAGATCTGTGTGCTTACAGCACGGCGCATTCGGGATGGCAGCAGCCGTGAGCGTGTATTCTGCACACGGACCAGTGTACATGTGATCAGAGCCACATGCCCATAGAAATCACATGTATTATGTGCGTATAATACAAAGTACCGAGGGAGGGGCAGGCAGGCACAGGCTCTTCAAACACCTTTGTGTTCTGCATTTTATGAACACCAGTCATTTAGCTTCTGACATCTTTTGGGCTGTGATCTGATGTCGTTAGGCTCTTTGCTGCTTCTTTCTCCATGGAATGTCTGGTGTTCCGAGGATGAGGCTGGCTCCCTGTCCCCTCTCCCCTACCCCTAGAATAGGGTCTAGGTGCTTGGGGATGGAGCCTTTCTATGTGTACACTTACTTGCCTAGGTGCTGACTTGCTGAAGATGTCTCGAGATGATTTGGTCCAGATCTGTGGCCCCGCAGATGGGATCCGGCTCTTCAACGCCATCAAAGGCAGGTGGGTGTCAGTTTCCAGCTGGAGGCAGGGTGTGGCAGGAGACTGACAACAGGTCCGCTGGGCCTGTGCAGGAGGCGGTGGTGGGAGCGAGAGGCTGACCAGCAGCGGGCTTCAGCCCACCTTGCAGGAAGGCCGCTACCTCTTGGTTTGCTGGGACCCTTGGCCTCTGGCTCTGGGTCCTTTAGCCACAGGCCAACAGATGCCTGGGTGGTCTGGGCTTCAGGCTGTTTCCTCCTGGAGGCTGCTCCGCCCGGGCAGTGGTTTTAGGGAGGATTGTGGAGCAGTGCTGTGTCCTGGGGAACTTCCTGCCATAACAGCAGTGTCCTGTGCACACTGTCCAGTACAGTAGCCCTGCCACACGTGGCAGTGCAGCACCTTATCTGAAGCCAGTGTGACTGGCAAACGGAGTTTTAAGTTTTAACTAACGAATTTAAATTCTAATAGCTACACACCGGTAGCACAGCTTTAGAGTGAGTGAGAGCCTCAGTTTGAAGCCCAGATCTTCCTCTTGAGAGCTTTGCAACTGAGCGAAAGCCCTTAACCACCGTGAGCCTCCCTTTCCTCATCAGTAGAGTGAGGATGATGTCCTTGCTCCCTCGTAGGTGGTGTGAGGAGGAACGAGTTATGCATGTAAAGGTCTAGAATGGTTGCCTGGTGCAGAATCAGCTAGGCAAGTGTTTGCTCTTATGACCCTGAAAAATGCCTGGTTCCTGAGGCCTGTGTTCTGGGCAGAGCCCCCTCAGCAGGCGGCTTGGCTGGGCTTCTGCCCCATCCCTACTGTGAAAGGAAGTCTGCATCCCACAGCCTTCTTTCTGTCTCCCGGAGTCCTTCCCAGGGCTGTGTCTGCCCTGTGTTCTGGAACATTCTGGAACAACAGAGCGTGGTCTCCCATACGTGCTATTTATTGCCTTTCTTCCTGCCAGGAATGTGAGGCCAAAGATGACCATTTATGTCTGTCAGGAGGTGGAACAGAACCGGGCACCCCTGCAGCAGAAGCGGGACGGTGGCGGGGACAGCAGCCTGTGTGGTGAGTAGTGGGGAGCTTGCCCTACACGGCTAGTTCCAGGGTGGCAACGGAAGGGAAGAAATTACCCAGGCTTCTTTCTCGCTGGGAATGTTTCCCCCGATCCACCTTACTTTGGTTTCTTACAGGATAAGTTTTCGCTGAAATTCATCCTGGGGTTGAAGTGTTTAAGGTGGAAGGCATCCCCCGGATATTGTCCGACTGGCTCATTTTACACCCTGGGAAACAGAGGCCCGGGGGGGGGTGTGCCCCCAAAGCCACTGAGCTACTCCTGGTAGAATTGGGAGCCCGGCCTTCTGGCCCCCAGACGGGTGACAGCTGGTGCTCAGTGACTGTGATTCCAGGAGCTCCTTCTCCAGTGACTTCCCCTGAATACCAGTGCTGGCCATGCCACCTGGTGGTGGTGTGTCCTTGGGCAGGTGCCAGGGCCTGTGCTTCACGCGTATAAAATGAAGGTAGCAACACTAACCTGTGGTGTGGGAGGTTTCAGTGAGATGAGCATAGAGAGCGCCCTGCTGCTGAGCACCTGTGGTGCTGAGTCTGCGAGCTCCAGTCTCTACCTGCGCAGTCAGGGCGCCGCATCACCTGCGGAGAGAGCCCTGTCTGCCTCTGCGGGCCCCTCCATGTCAGTGAGAATGCTCCACTCCCTGTCTTACGGGCTTCCCATGTGTTCACTTATTTGCTTCTCATAGTAGGAACTGTTGCTAACATTGTTTCACTGTGGGGGAAACTGAGGCACAGTTGGTAACAGTGTTGTAAGTGGCAGAGCCAGGATCCAAACACTTGGACCCTGGCCCTGGCTTCTGAGCCCTCAGTGTGGCCTTTGCACATTTCTGGTGAAGTTCTCGGTGCTCCCCCTGCTCTCTAGCCTGGTTAGCCTGTGAGGCCAGAGCCTGAGTGCCATGTGTATACGTGTGCGTGCGTGCATGTGTGTACATGTGTGTGCATGCATACATCTGTGTCAGTGTGCATACATGTGCGTGCACATGTCTACATGTATGTGTGCGTTTGCATGTGTGCATGCTTGTACAGTTAGGCTCCTGATCAGATGTTTTTGATCTTAGGGTTCCTTAGTTGAGGGACGAGTTTGGGAGCCTCTGGTTTAATCTAGCTGTTGTAGTTTTGAGGAACTCGAGGCCCCGAACATGGAGTAACCCACCCAAGTCTCCATGGAATTTGTTCCTGCCTGGCTGGCTTGGGTTTGCTATAAGGAGCTGCTCCAGCCTCAGGGTCACTGTGACTTTCCAGCAGGCTGATGACCCCCTTCTCCCACTGGGGCCGCAGTGCCCAAGCGGACTGTCACTGTGCTGTGGAGAAGGGCAAGGACGAGACCCTCTCTCTGCTCTTCAGTAGCAGTTATCTTTAAATCTCTCTGCCACCCGAAGCCATTGACCCCTTTAAACAGTGGACAGGAAGGAAAGGGGCACAGGGCTTCCTCTTTAGTCCTGCAGGGAACTGTATGCCGGGCTGCACGTTGAGTCACTGGAAGCTTTTTAGAAATAGATTTCTGCAAGCCTTTCTTCCTCCAGCCTCCATCCCTAAAGGAATGTCACGGTCTGGGGTGGATCCAGGAATTCTGTATTTTATATAAGTCCCCCAGGAGAGACTGAAACAGGAAGAAAGGGCCATACAGCCTGGCACCTTTTCACCTGTCAGTGGGCCACCTGGAGGCTGTGTGGCTTCCAGGCATGCACCCACTGCAGCCCAGGCCCACAAACCCACCTGGGCATGAGCATTCTCATGAGCACGTGACTGATTCCTTTGGGGGGGCGGGGCAGGTGTGGGGGTGGGGGATAGGCATGCTCCTTAAAGCAGGCGCCTGCTCTATAGAAGTACCCGTTTTCCCTCCTCCAGTGTACCACGCCATCTTCCTGGAAGAGCTGACCACCCTGGAGTTGGTTGAGAAGATCGCCAACCTGTACAGCATCTCCCCACAGCACATCCACCGCGTCTACCGGCAGGGGCCCACGGGCATCCACGTGGTGGTCAGCAATGAGGTGAGCTTGTGCCTGCCCTGCCCTGCTGGCCGGGGCTTTGTGTTCCAGGGAGGAGCAGTGGAACCTGAGCCAGAAATACACCCTCTGGGGCCTGGGGATGGCTTTAGCCTGAAGATGGCAAACAGGCTTCATTGGCGGCTTGCCACTTGCCTACAGCTCAGCGGCTGCCTGGAGTGCTGGGAGGGAGAGAGTTCCAAGGCCACGACTAGCTCGGAATAGCTGTCCAGCATTCACTCCGTACCTCGCCCTCGGCCAGGAGCACAGCCTGCACCCCTGCCCTCAGGGTGCTTACAGTAGGGCTTCGAGGAGTCAGGAGAAGGGTACTCACCCAGGGCAGGTGGCAGGCCCCAGCGAGGGGTGAAATGGCCTGGGGACTGGACGAAGGAAACGATGTGGCTCCCCGGAGAGGAGAGTGGAGGTCTCCTCTGCTGAATGGTGAAGGTGCCACAGCATTCCTGGGCCTGTCACTGGCCGCCCAGACCTGTGCAGGGCACAAGCAGCCACTGGCAGAGGGCACAGGCTCTGAATAGGGCCTGCTGGAGCTGTGTCCTCAAGTGATCTGATTCCACTGCCAGGTGTGCTGACACAGGCAGGTGTGCCTGCGAGTTGTGAGCTGTAGAACAGAGGCTGCTAAGCTTGTTCTGTCCCAGACCTTTCCTCAATACTAGTAGTAAGGGGTGCCAGCACTATAGAGTGCTGATTGTTCCACAGCTGCCCCAAGTCCACACACAGTGCCTCATTTAATTCTGGTAGCCTCCCTAAGAGGTGAGGTAGGTGCTATAGTGATCCCATTTCACAGGTAGGAAGCTAAGACACAGAGGCAAGTGCCCAGCTTACATAGCTGGTAAGGGCTAGACCTGTGGTGGGAACCCTGGTAGTCCAGCCGCAGAGCCCAAGCTCTGAGCCAGCAGGCTATCTAACCCCTCCTGAAATGAACCCTTTAAAGAAACCGATGGGCTGATGGGAGCAGGGCTGGGAGCCTGAACCCCCTGCTCAGCCCCTGCAGACCCTGGGCCAGTGCGGGAACTCTGAGTGCCTCTGTTTAGAGGATTATAGAGGAAACAGTGCAGGAGTGGTGGCTGTGGACATAGAGAAAAAGCGGCATCTGGAATTGGACTGGTGTCCCCACTTGGAACTGGCTCCTAGTAGCTGAGCAACCTTGGGCAAATTTACATAACGTCTTGGAGCCTCAGTTTCCACAGCTGTAAAATGGGGGTAATTGTACCTATTGAACAGGTAAGGCTAAAATGAGAAAACTGTGTTAGGTACCAGGAGACGCTAAACAAGCAGCAGATGTTGTAATTGACAGCGCTAGGCACTTGTTATTTTGGGGAGCAAGTGATGGACAGATCTTTAAATTAGACAGTGTATAAAATGTAAGGCTTTTAATGGTCTGTGTATTTATTTCATAAATTGTCATTATTAGTAATAGTCCTATGCTCCTTCTCATTCCAATTGCCAAGCCCCAGAAATGAGAGTCTCAGTCATGGGCATCTCATCCTGGAGGTCCATGAGGTGCTGTTTCTTTTTATTTAAAAAGTAATCCACAGAGTAAACAGTCAAGCAGCCTAGAGCAGCAGAAGGCACACGTGAAGGCCTGTCTTCCCCCTTTTTCCTGGAGGAGGTTACATTAGGTGTGATGAGATGCTACCAGATAGTTTTGTGGCAGTGTCTGCTGTGTGCCCAAGTGGGTGTGCATGTGGGTTTTTCAAACGCCCAACACACATCCGCTGTACTTACCTCTGTGACTTGCTATTTGCATCACCAGGTCAGAATTCCTTCCATGTCATTATGTTCAAATAATGCAGCTATTTTTTACTCCCATTTCACAGGTAAATAAAATGAAGCCCAGAGTCTCTGACCTGAGAACTTAACTTTAGCTTAGCCAGGAAGGTTATAGTGCCCCGAGCAATGGGTGTTGTTGTGGATGGAAAACTTGTCACTTTGCAATTCAGAATGAACTTTTGTGAAGACAAGAGCCAAGAATGTATGGAACCCTTGCAATTTCATGGGTGCCTGAAGGAAGGTCCTTCCCCAGCTTGCCCTGTGCCCCAGAGAGTTGGCAGTTAAGCAAGTGAAGCAGAGGCCAGAACTCAAATGCCGCCTCGGCTAAGTCAGCGATGCCTATTTCCCGAAGTCGCCTTGCCTCTTAACCCCGAATCAATTGGAAACCTTTGGTTCTTAATTGCCCAGAGCTCTGGAGGCAGCCTGGCCAGTGGAGCGGCCCCTAGGGTGTAAGGGCACTTAATTAAACGAGGGAGTTACTGATTAAGCCCGTGTGGGCTCTGCCTAGGGCTTTGCATGCCCAAGTGGCTGGGCTGCCAAGGGTCCTGGAGGGAGCCGGCCAGCAGTACAGAATAAATGTGCTTCACGCATCATTAGGCCCTACAGGGTGGGGCAGGGGTCTACTAGACGAGTTTGCAGGATTTGGGGCAATAATCCAGAGCAGGCAATAAAATGTGGTTGCGTTTGTGACATTGAAAAGAGGTTTTGCTGTCAGATTGGCTACTGTGTGAGCGTGGTGTGCGTGCTTCTGTATAGTGTGTATTTTTAGAATTCTTTCCGTTTATGTTGTGAAATGCAACATACATATGCCAAGAGTATATAAAGCGTGCATGTACAGTCTCAAGAATAACCGAAGTTCCCGGTGCCTGCCCGGGGTTAACACAGAAGTACTTTAGTAGCCCCTTTGTGAGCTCATTTCATGTTCCTCTCCCCCCCTCTGCCTGCTCGTCTCAGCTTTGTATCAATCACTCCCTTGCTCCTCCTCAGTGTGTTTAATTTTGCCTATTTAAACATTTCATGTAAGTGGAGTAGTAGTGGTGCTTCTGTGACTTTCTCCTTTCGTTCCACCTGATGTCTCTGAGACTCACGCGCGTGGCGATGTGCTGATGCAGGTGGCTGGCTCCGCTGGTGGCCTGGTGTGATGGTTTGTTCACGTGTCTAGTGCTGATTGCAGTTGTTTTTACTGCCTGTGTAAGAAACATCCAAACCTCTAAGAATTTTTTATGAGTTTCTTTGAGCCAAACTGATGACACATGCCGGGAAGCAGAATCTCAAAGGACTGAGAAAATGCTCTGGGGAATGGCAGGTTTATACCTTATTTTATACATTAGAATCAAAGGAGAAGGTATAAGTGGGTTCCATGAAGTCCTCTGGTGGCAGGTTAGGGAGGCGGGAGAAAGCAAAGTGGGGAGCCTCAGGGACTGGATAAAAAGTAAAACGATAAACACATAGGGTACGGGATAGTTAACAGCCCGCAGTGAACACAATAGCAATGGGGGGATTTGTGGTCTCTGCTCTGCTTTGAGGGGCCTGGAAAAAAGGAAGTTACTTTGATATTCCAAAGGCATGTTATCAGGTATGTTATCAGGTATGTTATCAGGTATGTTACAGATGCAAAAACAGACAAGGACAGGCTCAGTTAAGGTGACGACTGTTAGGTGACCTTTGTTAGGGAGAAATACTGCCCCAGGACATGACTACCCGCCATGAACTGCTTTTAGTTAGAAAGTTTTCCTTTCAGACCATCCTATGTGGTTCCCGTGGTCTCTGAGTTTGTAAGGCCGCCACACAGGCCTCCCCTGAGCTTGTCAGGGTCAGTGTGTGGCTCCTTTTTCATTCACATCATGGAAAAGACACGCAGCTTATGATTATTATAGTAGCTTTAACTCTGTGTTTCGCGTACTCACAGCTGTAAACCTACTTTTGCCCACCCGAACCTGCTAATTACCCAGGTTTTTAAAGCATGTTAGTTTTTTTCGGTTGCTGCTGTATACACACACTTCTATACTGTGTCTGTTACAGAGGCTGGAAGACCCAGTAACCAGGAAAGTGCAAACAAAAATTCAGTCCCATATTAAATGTTAATAACATCTTGGTTCCCTTCCAGGCTTCTTTTTGCCTTTTATGTTCAATTTTTTGTTACTTAAAATTGTGAGCATTTTGTACATTTCTTTTATATCGTGTTTTCCCAGTGAAGGTTAAGCATCACCGTTGGCCTGTGCTCATTCGTGTACACACGGCGACTGTCGTTTCTGCCGCCGCGTGGCCGGGCTCAGTATCGCTGCGGCTGTTCATACCATGAGCTTCTTGTTGAAGGGACATGGTCTCTCTCTTGCCTTTCAGATGGTGCAGAATTTCCAGGATGAGTCCTGTTTTGTCCTCAGCACCTTAAAAGGTAAAGGCCCCCCTTTCTTGTTTAGTTGAAGTATAGTGAGGCGAGTGGGTCCCGCTGTGCACTGTCCCCCAGAGAATGTTACCCGGGAACATCTTGGGGAAGGGAAAGCACAAACTTCCTGTGAACCCAGTCCTGGAATGTGAGAGCTCGTGGCTGGCCCCAGAGTCACTTCTGAAGGGGAGTCCTGGCCAGACGGTGTTCTCCTTGAGCTTCGTGCCAAGTGACATAAGATGCATTTGAGGTTTCCTAAGCTGTGGGCTCCGGGAAGAGAGCACCGAATACAGCAGCTGCTGGGGCTGGTGGATTGGGGGACCCCAGCCGGGGGTGGGGGTATGAAGGGCCCTCCTGAGGAAGGAGCCCGAGATTGGGGGACCCTGGCTTGGGGGGCTATGAAGGGCCCTCCTGAGGGAGGAGCCTGAGAGAGAACTCGTGGGCCAGGAGAGGGAAAAACCCGCTGGGACCTTCCTTCGGGCCAGGGCAGGTGAGTGCGTGGTCTGTCAGGATGAAGGCCTCTGACCGGCTTATAGATGCTGCGTCGTGACGGCCCCTGAGGCCGCAACACCCCGAGAAGCAGTCTGTCCAGAGCCTCCTTGGATGTGGGTCTTTGGGTCCGTGGGCCTGGAGCTGTGGGGAAAGGCCCACTGTCAGGAAGAAGCTCACAGCGATGTGAGGGCGCACGTTGCCCTCCCCGCGCCTGTCAGCGCGCTTTGCCGTGCGCAGCCTCGTCTTGGTGGTCTCTGCCAGCGTTCACGGGGGGCTCTGAGCTCCCCTGCCCCATGCCTCCATGCCGCCCCGTGCCAGGCGCGCGCCTCCTTCCTGGGAAATGCCCAGTGTTTCCCTCTTGCAGCTGAGAGCAGCGACGGCTACCACATCATCCTGAAGTGCGGCCTCTGAGCGGCCTCCGCCTCCCGCCCGTGGGCCCCTTGGATGCAGAAACTGCACCGCTGGAAGCTGCGGCCTCCCTGGCCCGCTGCGGCTGGAAGGGACTTTGCCCGGGGTGAAACCACGGCCCAGCAACCAGCGGAACCCACGGACGCAGAGTCTCTGGCATGCAGAACGCCGTGGCTCCTCTCCCTTCCTCTTGGCCTTTTTTCCAGACTTGCCACTCTAAAAAGGCAAACAGTGGGGCGTCTGCTCCGAAACCCCTCGCTCTCTTAGCTGGAGGCTGGTTCACCGGCTCTCTTGGTGCCGATGTATTGGTTCCTTCTGACCCTCTCCTGCCTCCAGAGAAAGCTCTGCCTCACCCCAGCCTTCGCCTTCTTCTCTGGTAACTGGCTCCATGACCAAACTGCTGACTAGATGGGGGCGATTTGCCACCACATCTGTCTTCTTGCTGGTTTCCGTTCTCGATGACCCTGGTGAGCATCTGTCTGTCCTGCTTTTGGACAGATTGATGGGAGTGGGGTTTATTCTGTGCCTTCTTCTTTCACTTTACCTTGTTTCTGAGGATCTGCTACTACAAAGCCCAGAGATGGGCTCACCTCTCTGCGTTGGTGTGGTGGGTACCACAGTATGCGTGTGGGACCTGCCACACAGACCTAAACCTGGGGGGGGTGGTGTGGAAAGGCTATCTTTAGGCACATTCTCATGAGTATAAAGGGATAAAACAAAAATGATTCCTCTTGAGCTCCTTCGGTATAATTTTATTTCCTGGCTGTCATGGGTAAGGACTGGGAAATGGTCGTCCCACTGTGTGATCAGACGACCTTGACTATCCCGATGCCTGGCCCTCTTAGTTGGACTCACCATATCCCATTTAAAGAAGACTTGGTTACCTACTGTCAAACCTGCCGAGTTTCCTAGGGACATTGTATTTTCTGTGAGGGCCCCATTTAAATGCTGATTTTTTTCATTTGTAGGGGATGTGGTTAGAGCATTCTGACTGCATTGGCACTGTTGGATCACCTTTCTTAGTGGCCTGTGAGGAAATTTGAATATCAGTAACTGGTAGACTAAGGAATTACTCTATGTCTTGCCTCCGTTTCCTGGGACCGGGTGACATACTAGCCCAGAGCTTCAACTCTTTGCTAATTTAGGTTCATCTTCCAGAGCATGGTGAACCCTACGACCAACTGCACAGGATTTTACAGCTTATAAAGTAGAGCTTTTGGGGAGTGTAGTGCTAGGGTCAGAGAGATCAGAACTGGGTAGACCTTGTTTTACAGATGGGGACACTGAAGCCCAGAGGAGCAAAGCCACTGCCTGATAACACATAGTGATAGGTAATGACATACATTATTACACAAACCAGGCAGTTGTGAGAGGGAACGGGCTCTATTAGTAATTATGTTGGGACAACAGGTGTGTTTTTCCCACAGAGTAAAGACCGGTTCCTGATTCCTTTTCTGTTTTTGGAGGGGAAGGAGGAGCCAGTGACAGATTTATTGAGAGATGATTCACTTACCATACAGTTTACCCATTTATAGTGTACAATTCAGTGGTTTGTAGTAAATTCACAGAATGACCATAATTAATTTTAGAACATTTTCATCAGTCCCCAGAGAAGCCCTGTACCCTTTAGCAGTCACTCTCCCACTTTCCCCTACCTCCCCCTCGTCCTCAGCAACCATGAATCTGCTTTTTATATAGCTTTGCCTATTTTGGACATTTTATATATATGGCATCCAATATGTGGTCTTTTTGTGACTAGTTTCTTTGACTTAGCATAATGTTTTCTAGGGTCATCCATACTGAACATATATCAGAACTTCAGTTCTTTTTATAGCCGAGTAATAATAGTCCATTCTATGGATATACCACATTTTGTTTATTCATTCATCACGTGATGGACATTTGAGTTGTTTCTACTTTCTGGCTATTATGAATAATGCTGCTATAAACATATTTGTACAAGTTCTTGTATACACGTATGTTTTTATTTCTCTTGGGAATATACATAGGAGTGGGAATTCTGGGCAATATAGAAACTCTATGTTTAACTTCTTGAGTAACTGCTGGACTGTTTTCCAGTTTTCTATTCCCATCGGCAGTGGATGAGGGTTCCGGTTTCTCCACATCTTCACCAACACTTGCTATTATCTATCTTTTTGATTACATCATCCTAGTGGGTATGAAGTGATCTCATTGTGGTTTTGATTTCATTTCCCTGATGGTTAATGATGTTGAGCATTTTTTTTTTTTTCATGTGCTTATTGGCTATTGGTATATCTTCTTCGGAGAAATGTTTATCCTTTCCCCATTTTTAATTGGGTTATTTTTCTTTTTATTATTGAGTTATATAAGTTCTTTGTATATTCTAGATACAGGTCCTTTATCAGATACATGATCTGTAAAATTTTTCTCCCATCAAGGGGTTGTCTTCACTTTCTTGATATTAATCCTTTGAAGCACAAAAATTTTCAATTTGATGAAATGCAAGACTACCCATTTTTTCTTTTTTCTTTTAAAATTGATTTTAGAGAGAGAGAGGAATAGACAGAGAGAGAAACATTGATTGTTGTTCCACTTGTTTATGCACTTATTTGTTGTTTCTTGTATGTGCCCTGACTGGGGATCAAACCTGCAACCTTGGCATATGGGGACGATGCTGTAACCAATTGAACTATCTGGGTAGGGCCTACCCATTTTTTTCTTTTGTTAGTTGGGCTTTTGGTGTCAAATCTAAGAAACAATTGCCTAATCCAAGGTCAAGAAAATTTATGCCTATGTTTTCTTCTAAGAATTTACATTGTTTAGCTCTCATAATGGTCTTTGATTCACTTTGAGTTAATTTTTGTACAGGCATACCTAGTTTTAGTGTGCTTCACAGATGTTACAGTTTTTACAAATTGAAGGCAAAACCCTCTACCAGCAAAAGGATTATGACTTGCTTTACTGTGATATTAGCTTTATTGCAGTGGTCTGGAACCCCACAATATCTCTGAGGTATGCCTATATACGGTGTGAGGTAGGGGTCTAACTTTGTTCTTTTGTGTGTGGCTATCCAGTTGTCTAGCACCAGTTGTAGAAAAGACTACTAGAATCCCCATGGAGTTAATTGCCTTGGCACGCTTGCTAAAGGCCCCTGACACTTACCTGATCTTTTATTTTAGGACATGGGGCTGTCACTGGAAAGCTCACCTTCTCTTTTTACAACTGGCTTTCTGTTCTCTTTCTGCTTTCTCCCCTTTTACCTGTATTGACAACACTGGGTCAGATCACTCTCTGATGTTCTGCAATCTTTCTTGTTCTGCAATCTTTCTTGGTGCACTTTCTAGCTTCATACACTCTTCCTCAGGAAGGGTCAATACCAGCCGTTTTCTTTTTTGAGGAAACTGAGTCACATAGAAGTGGAGTGACTTGCCCACATTTACACAGAACCAGAACTAGGCCTTTGGTCTTCTGACTTCCAGCCTTCCAAAGTGTCTTCAGTCACTTTACCTAAGTGGTGTGGCTTCCCAGGCCAAAGGGATGGCAGACTACATTTTAATTCTAAAAATATGGCAGGCTAATATTTTTACTTCTTAATTTCAAAGGAGGGCCTAATAAAGATCTGTTACCTTAAGTTTGCTGTTAGTAGAATCTTTCATTCTCTGAAACACCCACTGCTGTGTGTTCTCCTTACCTTCCTCTAATGGTTATAGCTAAATCTTGTAGCTTACAAGGAAGTAGAAAATAATAAGTACCAAAAGAGAATACACATGGTAATTTGGTATCAACTGTTTTAGCTGCCTAATTCAGCAGCTTGCCACTTCCACTAGAGTCAGATGAGCTAAAGCTGTAGGTTTTATTGTTTTTATTTATTAAGGACAGAAAAGCTGTAACACTTTCTACTCCTGGGCACTGTCTTTACTGTGAGCTCAGAGTTCAGAGTCTGGGCCTGCTGGGCCTGCAGCCTCCCAGGGCTGCACCCTCTGCCCCACGTGTTCCAGGCTGCGGCTTCTCCTCAGCAGGGCAGTTTTGAAAAGTGATCCCCAAAGGGAAAAAGGATATCTGTGTGCTCAGGCCACCAACTCAACTAGGACCCCAAAGCTATGTTCTTTATTTCCATGCCATCTGGTGTCTTTGCTGTTCAGATAGTATCTTTGAGGTTGTGGTAACCTTTCCCTGTTTACCAGGTTATACCTTGAAATAAAGACCAGAGGCTTTTGAATGGGGACAGTGGGATTTGCTGGGGGAAGGGGCTTTGTGCTGTTGGAAAAAGCAGGATGGGTGGGGAATCTGAAGTCCCAGCCTAGGTCAGACCCTAAGCAAAGGTCAGACATTGCCCTGATGACCTCCTGCCAGGCAGCCTCAGGCCCCTTAGAAAAAGCTGTTAATCTGGGGGCGGAGGCTATACTGGGAGCAGATTGGAGTTGGCTGAGCCCTGTGTCACAAGTTTCCAAGTCCAGTGTGACTTCGGGCTGGGCTGAGTCACCTAAGGTTGGAAAATCATTAACGAACTGGTGAAAAACATGGAAAAGCCTGTTTTCTGCTGTCAGTGGAGCAGAGGGAGGGAGCCCAGGGCCCTCAGAGAAGGTGGGAAAGCAGAGGAGAGGGGGGTGAGGTGGGTGGAGAGTTGGAAAGGACAGGACTGAGTTGGGTCCTAGGCCCTAAGACCTGCTTCTGTGAGTCTCTTTGCCTCTCTGTGTCTGCCCCTTAAAATAAAGGCTCAATCACTTGGTGATTCGAGGGACAGTGGACCTTTCCCATTTCCCTCCGTCAGCATCATGCTGGGAGCAGGTGATGAGTGTGGCATCCTGCTTGTACATGGCACCACTGACCCTCACTCGGGCTGCCGTGGGCACTGCCAGGCTGCCAGCACCTCCCCCTGAGGCACAGGGCCTCGGTCGTGCCTTTAAGAATCGAGTCCTGCTTACGAGTGAGCTGACTCCTCTGGCCGGCACTGAGAGTGGCCGGCAGGTGTCCCCTGCATCCTGAGCTGGACAGTGTGGGCCTGCTCCGCAGCTCCCTTCCAGATATTTCTATACACACATGCGTTGCTTTCCCCGCTCCGGTGTCTGGCACAAATGACATGAGCTTAGCTGGATGTGGCGATGGCTGCTGTCCCCTTTAGATATTATGTGACACTCCTGGTTTGGGCTCTGTTGCTGAAGCTGATTAAGGTAATGTTGCCTGACCTGGGGAATCCACAGCCCAGTCCAACTCTCCTGGGGAGCCAGCGCTGGCTTCGGACCAGCCCCAAGAGCAAGGCCCGTGGAGCCTGTCTCCACAGCTGCCTCAGGTCCATCTCTTCTCCTCAGTTTCATACTCTGGGTGTGACAGCAGTCAGGCTGCTGGCAGGCAATGTTTGTACATCCTTTCTGATTACCTCCCAGCCCCCTGCCCTTTACCCTGTGGGAAGAGGGCAGGGAGGCCTTTCAGGTCACCCCAGCCTGGAGATGTGGGTGTGGCTCTGATGCCTTCGGTGGGCCTGGGGCATCGAGAGGCTGGTCAGGGCACCTGGCCCCCTTCCAGGGACCCACCAGGGGCACCCAGAGAGCGCTTCAGACCTCCGCAGAGGCTGCTTGGGCTTTGGTCCAGCATGCCGTGGGTAACAAGAAAGCCCAGAGGCAAAAGGCAGTAGCTCTGAATGGTGGCTCTCTTGCCAATGGCCCA